TCTTTGTCAGAGCAATGCTGCGTCGGTCCAGCCGCTCACATGAAGCCATGGATGACCTCATTGACCTCTTTACCTACCAGTGTCCTTATACCAGAAAAAGACGGGTTGCTGGACATCCGGAGTCTGATGCCAAGTCTAACAACTCTGGGCCACAGCAGACACTTGGCACGCTTGAGGCTGACAAGATATGGATTCCAACAGTGCGTCCAAACACGTGGCAAATAAAACTGGATGTAACCCAAGGACAAAACACAGGGACTTTGCCGGAACTTTGCCAAGTCTCTTGCATGCACTGGGTACCTGACTTTGGTTGACCAGCTTCAGTGTTTATTCTTTGCTTCAAGGGGTTTTTCCAAAGATGCTTGCGTCCAAGCTCGAAAGGATGTGTGTCGCCTGGCCTGCCCTCCCCCGGATGCCGGAGTCCTGCATCGCCATTGTCCAGTCAGGACGCACCTTGGCCAGCAGGTCGGATGGCCACTCGCGGGTATCAAACTTGTGTCTGCATGTGTGTGTGTGTCTCACCCTTTTGCTTTGAACAACGTGAAACATCTCAGGCCAAATCTGTACTGATGGATCTGGAAGGCTGTTTTGGGGATGCCTTTGATTGGACACAAGTTCAATCGTGCGGGATCATGTACAGATCTTTGCGCAACAATGGTTGCTCCATGACTTGTGGCAACATCTTGTCCCATGCAAAGGCGCAGGTGGCTGCCTTTCGCAATTTTGTAGGCGAAAAGCTTTGTGTCTTCAAAATCGGGGTGACTGCGAACCCTTTGATGCGTTTCCCTTCCTACATAGATCAGGGCTTCACCTTCATGTGGGTGGTTGCAGAGTCCTGCAGCAAAGGCCTCATCCATATGCTTGAGGCAGCTTTAATTTCAGAATTTGCAGCGTGCAGTGGCTGCAGAAACAAGCTGGGAAGCGGCGGGGAAGGAGCTTTGAACCGCACAACGGCAGCTTTGCCGCCTTTTTATGTTTATGTGGCAGGGGGGCGAGCCGACCAAAACCGCAGAGTTGGCTAATTCAGGTGTGGCTCAATGAAGTAGCGTGCGCAGGGGGAAAAAGAGCGAGATGTGCCTCTGCATGTTTGCGTGTTTCGTTCCGTTTTGTCTGCTTGCGTGGTTTGTGTGTTTGTTTGTTTGTTTGTTTCTTTGTTTGTTTGTTTGTTTGCTTGTTTGTTGGCTTTTGTTTGTTGTCAGTGCGCTTGTGTGTTGGCTTTGTGGTTGTTTGTTGTGTGTTTCCTTCTTTTTGGTTGTTTGGTTGGTTGTTTGCTTGGTTGCTTGCTTGCTTGACTGAACGGTTGGCTGATTGATCGCTCGGTTGATTGATGGATTGGTTGATTGGTTGATTGATTGAGTGGTTGATTGATGTGCTGGTTGGCTGTTGTCTAATTGCTTGCTTGCTGGGTTGGGTGATGTTTTCTGGTTAGTTGACTGGTTGCTTGACTGCCTGACTGTCCGACTGACTGACTGACTGACTGACGGACTGACGGACGGACTGACGTTCATATATTCATGATTGCGTGCTGCGTTGCTTGGTTGGTTGATGAGTTGCTTGGCACCCCGAGGGCTGCCTCCCTGATTGCTTCCTGATTGTGACTGACTGGTTGGTTGTTTGGTTGATTGATTGATTGGCTGGTTGGTTGGTTGTTGATTGACTGACTAATTGGTTGATTGACTGATAGATTGACTGATAGATTGACTGATTGATTGACTGATTGGTTGATTGATTGGTTGGTTGATTGATTGATTGATTGATTGATTGATTGATTGACTGTTTGACTGACTGATTGCTTGGTTGATTGGCTGATTGAGTGATTGATTGATCGATTGATTGATTTGATTGAGTAATTGACTGATTGATTGGTTGATTGGTTGGTTGGTTGATTGATTGATTGATTGATTGATTGATTGATTGATTGATTGGTTGATTTTCTTTGTGGTCTTTGGCTGGGTTGTGTTCATTTGTTTGGCTTTGTTTTTGTTTCGCTGTCTGTTTGTCTGTTCGTTCTGTGCTGCTTGGTCGGTTGTATTTGGTTTCTTTGCCGCTGTTTTCTGCTTCTGTCTGCTTGTGTGCTCGTGTGTGTGGGGTTGTGTTTGCTGCCTGTGCCCTGCATGCTTTGGCACCACCAGCATCATTTCGCGCTGTGCCTGAGTTTGTTTGCGGCCTGAGGCCCCAAGCTCCCACGTTGTGCAGCTGGCCCGCGCGGAGGTGGACGAGAACCCTTTAGCTTCTAGGGGTGTGAAGGCTCTTGCAAGGGTGAGGCTGAAAGATGCTGAGACTGGGGTCCACCAGGTCTTCCATGAGTATGGTGTGAGCGCGCCGGTGCCGGTCAACTCGGTGAACTTAGGGCATGGTGCGCTGAAAGCTTTTCCCTACACCAAAATCAGTGATTGGGTTAAGTACCTGCTCAAAACGGGAAGGCTTCGCCAGCTATGTGGTGTTGACGGCGTCGATCACATGAAAGCATTCCTCGCGGAGTACTGGAAAAGGTACAAAGCCGTACACCCAGACCATCAAGTTTTCGATTTAGCCGCGCAAGGAACCCTGCAGTTGGAAACCACCATCCCGGTCTATTCTCACACTGATGAGGGCCGGTCCTACAAACATCAAGCTTTGTGGGTCCTGTCGGTCCATGGGGCCTTGGGCAGAGGAACCCGAGCTTACATCCAAGCTGGAAAGAACAGAGCGGCGCTTCAAAGAAGTAGTATGGGCATGAACTTCACAGGGGCAACATGGAGCACACAATTTGTCTTTGCAACTATGCTACGTGCTGTTGCCAATGGGGTGCCGGGTGCTTTGGATACAATCACTCGCTTATTTGCAGAGGACATGCGCCTGCTTGCTTCTGAAGGTGTAACTGGCGATGATGGCTTACGCATTTGGTGCGTGCAAGTGGGCACAAAAGGGGACCTACCCGCATTGACTAAGCTGGCTGGGTTTAAACGCAGTTTCTCCCATGTAGCTCGGGCCGCAGTGTCCCGGCTGCCCTCCACAGGTGTTTGTTTTTACTGCTTGGCCGGCCAGGAAGAGTTGGACCACGTCACCAACACGAATGTCTCACGGTATCCTTGGGAGGATGTTTCAAAAAAACCAAAGTGGGCAGCAACCATGAACCATCCCCCTTGCTGGGACACTGCGCCTACCATGTTGAGCGGGGTACCGGTATGCCCTGGCCAGGAGGCGGCTTTCTTTAAAACAGATATCTGGCACAATCTGCAATTGGGCGTAGCCAAGCATTGGATTGCATCATCCTTTGTGGTGGCGTTGGAGAGCCTTGACAATCTTCCCGTAGTTGGTGTGAGGGCCAGGCCATCAATCGAGAAGAAAATGGAATGGCTTACTTCGGAGTTTGTGGCCTTTAGCAATGACCGACACCTCTCGCCTTACATGACCGAGATCTCACGCGAAACGCTTGGGTTCCCCTTCGGGTCAGCTTTCCCAGTTGGGCATTGGAGCAAAGGCTCGGTTTCAACCCACTTCATGATGTTCCTTGAGGACTTTTGCTCCAAGTATGTCACTGACCAATCGGACGATCCATGTCTCCAAGCCATCGTGCCTAAGCCTCTTTCTAGCAAGTTGTTGGGGAGGTTTGGTTTTTCTGGGTTACACGTCATACTTCCATCCCTTCAGTACCTAGGACACTGGCACCCGGGCAATCAATGCGGCGATCTCTTACCTCTACTCGGCCGGCTATTGGCTTCGCCCGTGGCAAGCTGAAAAGGTGGCCAACCTGTTGATACTTTTCCTGCAGTCCTTTCAAGCTTGTGCAAGGGTTTGCTTGGAGCGACGCTTGAATCGTTTTGCATTGACCCCGAAGATTCATTACATCCATCACACCGCCCACCGCTTGCTGATGCAAGCCAACTGTGGCTGGGCAATTTCGCCAATGGCGGAATCAGTACAGGTCCAGGAAGATTTCATTGGACGCCCCTCAAGAGTGTCCCGCCGTGTGAATGTCAGGATGATTCATCAACGAGTTTTGGCCCGATCGCTCATATGTGCCTTGCAGGCTTTAAAGGGGTCAGACACTGACACTAGAGGCCTGCATGGCCGTTAGAAACCTGTGGCATCATGAGCCACATCCAGCAACATCAGCCAGCGCAAGAAAAAGAGTCAGCGAATCGCCGCCCACCCTGCCGTTTTTCCCACTTAGGCTGGCGCATGCCATGCGATTGTCCAGAACCAGCTCGATGTCGCTTGAAACGGCTTTGGCTGCCGGCTGCAACCCACCCATAAAGAGCACCAAGGTCAACACATCTTGGATGTTTCTGGGAAACTGGTGGACCCCAACATGTCCCAAAAAATAGCCAAAACAGCATTTCTTGAAAGGGACGGATTCTATCAAAAGGGGGTCTTTTGCAACTTTGAAACCCTCTGAAACAGAAAGGTGGACCAAACCGGCCCCAGGTATATATATATATATACATAAAATATTATCGAAGCCCGACCACGATCTGCAAGGATGCTTGCGATGTCCAACTGGGCAGGCAGCGTAATTCGCGCGCCGATCATTAGTTTGGATCCCGCCCCGCTCACCACCGCCTTTCGCCGCGCTTCGTAGCTCCGCACAACTGGATTCCGGAGTTTTTTTTCATAGTGGGGTGTTAGCGGGGGTTACAGTGGTTTGGAGCGGCTCCGGGCGAGACTTCCGGATGGGCTAGTTTTTTAGTTTTGTCAACACGCATACTGACGAGCTTTCCCAAATTCCAGCTGGGAGGTGTGAAGTGTTTGATGTTTTGGGATGGCGGCGCAGAACAGCGGTCTAGTTTGACTTTCTTGCAGGGTGGCCGTTAGAACGGGAATTGCCCGTGCTGCGGTGTGATCTTTTGACTTTGGCGCCCCGCCTTTGGCAAGTTGTTTCAGGGCCGTCAATTGTGTTTCCGTGGGCGGCGGCATGATGCATTTTGTTTGGGTAGGTGATCTCTTATCGGACTTTCAGATTGTTTAAGATAGTTGTTCTGGCTTGAGGACGCCTGAGCGTACATTTCCTGACTCAGGACGGGAGTTTTCTGTCATAGCGCCATCACTGGCGCCGAGCAGGATCCAGAGCTCATGGTGCAGTCCATGGTTAACGAGCAAGAACGCATCAAAGCGGCCTTTGCAGAGTTATTCCGACAGATGGACAAGGACATGGGCGCAATTTACGGGCAATTTGCGTGTGGATTGTTTGCGGCCACGCAATGGGGAAACAAGGTCCCACTTTGCGCGAGTAGGGCGCCGCATTCTTCAGCGGACAAGGACCGCCAGGGCACGCTGGACATCCACCAGTTCGAGAACAGCTTCCACGTGGAGTCTGTCAGGTCTTGTTTCGAAGCCCTGGGCATCAAGGCGGCAGATGCGTGGACCATTTTTCGCAGCCTGGACAAAGACGGAGTTGCTCGGCATCACGCCTAGAACCCAACAGTTATTTGTTTTTTTTTGGTGGAATTTGGGGGCGGGGGGGTTTAACCTGAGAGAGGGTTTAAATGGTTTAAATGGTGTTGATTAGACTGTTGGAGTTTGTTTTTTGTAGAAAATATTTAAATGGTTTTGTAATTTTGAATAAAATGTTGTTTGAACATACTTGCCTTGAAGAAGGTCCGTGAGCGAAACAGATGCAAAAAAAAGATGCAAACAGAACTGCTGTTTAGTTTGTTGGTGTGTCTGCGCGACAGCAAAGGCGCGCAACGGACACGGGAAGTTTTATCCGCTTTCGAACGGTTCTTTGCAAGGACTGCAGTTGGTCGTCAGGAGGCAAGACCGTTT